TCTTGGGCAAAATTATATGCAATATTTTTCATTATAGATATTAACTTCACTTTGAATCTTACTCCCTACACATTGCTCTTACCTTGGCTTCTTTTTTTCCCTTAAAATGTAACCAGGGTTAACTACTGTCAGGTGCAGAGCTATCAGCTCTCAGGTATGAAACACTCAGGTGTGAATGGTTCTCCAAACAAAAGAAAAACCTCTCCTTGGGATTTTAAAAATAGAAAATTCTTCTGTTGCTTGGGTGTCCATTGTCTGCAATTGTGGTACATCTGTTTTTGTATTATCTGGTGATACTTGTATATATTGTAAGGAGAAATTAAACTTTATATGTTAAAATGTCACTTGATGTGCTTCATTATATGAACTGGTATCTTGATGTGTTTCCTCAAGAAGTTCTGCTTTACATCAGTAGGACTGAAAGCAGAATTAGCTGTTTTACATTAACTTAATTTTCTTTTTCTGTCATTAAAAGAAATTGTTTTGTTTAAGTGAATACATAGCTCCTTGAAAGATTCCCATCTAGAACCCTAGAAAAAATTATTTAATCATATCCTTCAAACAGAATCATATTCCTACCATATTCCATGGATATGAATACATCATATCCATTCCCCAGAGGGTGGCCCAAAAGAACTCTGACAAAATCTGCCCTACTCTAATTTTAGCTTAGTAACTGTTCAGACACCTCTTTTAGTAACTACACGTGTGTGTGTGTGTGTGTGTGTGTGTGTGTGTGTAATATATATATTCATACATATATATAAGCATTTCAAATACAAACAACTGAGACAATCTTGAAGCATGTGTTTTTTAGGTGTGTGAGAAATGAATGGAAGATAAATATCAGTGGAAACTATCTGATTTCTTTAAAAATGACTTTTTCTCCTACTATTTTCTGCACAATTACTGTTTGGGTCTGTAGGAGAAAGGTGTTTAATCCAGACACTGGCTGCAGTTTTGATGTTCATTCAGTGACTAAGCCTTAACAAGGAGCGTGACATTTTTCTGCTGCCCATTGTTTTAGGATTTTGTGTCTACACTCCTTATTAAGTGTGCACAGTGAATATTAAGAAAATATTTATTCTTTAAAAAATAATATTTTTAATATTAAGAAAATAATTTCTAAACGTAGCTTTTAACATCATATTCCACAAAAGCTTCAAGCTAGAACAGCACTGGCTGTAAGGTAAAATCATACAATAGTTGGTTCTTTCACATTCACTGTTCAAATGTGGTAGAACTGGTGTACGTTTCTTGTTGAAAACCATTTGTTATTGATAAATTTTGTGGAAAATAAATACTTCCAATTCGGGAAATTCTATTATTTCATTTGTCTTAATGTATTTTATTGGACGTTGCTTCAGCCCTGCTCTTGCTTCACCACGTATGAAAAGCAGCACTGGGATCTGCCATCTAGTGGCAAAGTTCTGGCAATAAGAGCACACGGAAAATATTTTCATCTTTCTTTCTACAATCTAACTTCATGAAACACCTTGAAAATATTAGCTAGGAGGCAGATAAAGGCAAAAGTCCATACAAATGTAAAAGGCAAAAGTTATACCAATAGTGTAATTTCTTGGGTCATGTAAATTCTGAAAAATCTTCATACTATTAAAAAAGGAAGTTAACAAAAGTAATTTCAATTAAGATGAATATTTCTGAAAATGTATAACTGTATGCTTTAATTAGTTTTGGTACAGTTACATTATTTGAAATGCATAAAATACACCTTAGAGAAAAATGTTAATTGACAGTAAATTCTTATATTAAAAAGTTATTCTTATATTAAAAAAGTTGCCTGTGAGCTGTATATATAGGTAGAAGAACAGAAGATCAGGCCATTAGTACTTCAGCAGAGGCCAGGGGTTAATCAGGATCAGGCACCTCTGACACTACACACTGGGCAAAATTAAATCCAGCCTTTTAAAGAAAATGCCAACACATAGTTTTGCACGCTGTGGCTGAAATTTATCCCCATTAAAGTCAATAGCAAAATTCAAGAAGACTCACTGAATAAACACAGCATAGGCTTCTATAGGTTTCTAAAAAAAAGACAAATTATCCCATACTTCTTCCTCATTTATGAATTGCCATCAGATTTATGATGAAGTTACTTAGACAAGATATCAGACACCCAACTCCAAGTCTTTCTCTACCTAGTTTGGGTGTGGAACTGGAACTTTGGTGTCCCTCTGCTTTAATCCATTCAACTGTATTACTCCTTTTTCCTATGGACAACCAAATCATGGTCTTGACACTGAAGTGGAAGCCAAGGTCCTCTGAGCCCTCGACAGGTACTAATTTAGTTTCCCATTGTGGCATTAACCAGTTTTTTCAAGCAGTGAAGTAAGTTTGTGAGACTTTTTTAGAAAAATGCCTTGCACTGCCATTGTAATTCTTCTTTAAAGTAAGCTGCAATGCGTTTGTAGTTTCATAAACCCGAATGTTTTGCTCTCTTTTCTTTTAGAGAGTGTCATCATTCACCAGTTACGCGTGAACTCTAGATGAGTTACCACCCGCTAGAGCTCTCTGTGTGCACTACCCTCCTCCATGCCTGTGGATGGATCACTGTAGAAGCTCTCTGCCAGCAACACCAGGGTCACTTGTGCTACTGATTATTTGTGGAAGTTTTAGTGCTTCCATTAGGTTTTATATATTTTTTCTTCTTGGTAGAGATTTAAAAATGAATGGCTTTGCTGGTATTTTAAAAGTATCTAATCAGAGAGAGAGCAGCAATCTTTCTGCCAGCTGAATTTCACTTTTAATTGCAAAGCCTAAGGCACCTGCTTGATTTTGTTTGATATTTGCCATATAATTTATTTTTATAATACACTTTGTAAAGTAGCTGTGCCAAAGTTGCAATTCCTGTTGCTTATTATGCATTTATTTGTAGAATACACTGTCAAATTTACAATTTGATATTTTTGTAATAGAGAGTATGTGAAGAAAGAAAAATGTAACTTCAGCAATGTTTTCTGTTTAAATGGAAAAGTATTCAGTACATTTTTTTTGCCACCATGAGATTCTGTGAGACTAAATACTCTGAAGACTGCTGTATGGAATTTGTTGCAGAATACTTCTTGCACTGTGTGATGGTTTGGCATAAAATTAAGTATTAAAGTCCAATGCCTTGAAATACAACCAGATTTACTCATTTTAAACAATGTAAGTCAGTTTTTAAAGCTGTGATTTTTTTTCTATATAAAGTATGTTTTTACTTCTGCCTGTACCAAAAAAGTCGATTTTCATTACACTGTAACTAATAAATTTTCACAACTATGCAAATATAATCAAGTGTTTGCATTTCAACTCCAGTTTCTTAGGGTTGGCAGTGCTCATCTATGTATTTGTTTATGGGGACAGAATATGGGTTTGGAAGTTCCTTTTTCTGACTGGTGTCTCATACTGTGTCACAGTGATGTACAGGGTGAAACTGAACCATAGAATCATAGAGTGGTTTGGATTGGAAGGCCCTTAATGATCATGTAGTTCCAATCCCCCTGCCATGGGCAGGGATGCCTTCTACTGGATCAGGTTTCTCAAAACCTCATCCAACCTGGCCTTGAACACTTCCAGGAAAGCTGTTCAACAACTTCTCTGGGCATTTTGTTCCAGTGTCTCACCACCCTCACAGTGAAGAATTTCTTCTTAAAATCTAATCTAAACCTACTGTCAGTTTGAAACCATTCTTCCCTGTCCTGTCACTACATGCCCATGCAAATCTCTCCATCTTTCTTTTAGAAGATGTTAAGATACAGAGATGGATCAATCACCAAGCCCTTAATGACTTAATTGTTTCCAACCCTGAGCTTTCACAGCACAGGCAGAGATGTTCAACTGGCATTGTCAGAATCTTTAGTCCTGGACTAGTACCTGGACTAAACACCAGGCACTTGGCCACATGCTGAGAGGGGCCCCTTTTACACTGGTGGTTGTAGCTTCTCAAATAGCATCCAGAGAGTTCTGTGGCAGCTATACTAAGGACGATTTTTGAATGAATGATAAATAAAGCTACATGCAATCCAGGCAGGGTCTTTTTTCACATTTCATAACCAATGATTTTTAATCTAAGTTATTGGCACATACTTAAAATACTGCAGATTTTTAACTGCAGAAGCTACTGGGAGAAATTAGTTTTTTTGGAAAGGAAAACAGTGTTGCTTGCAGGAGATGTGCTGCAAGATGCCAGAAAGAGTGCATTAATGCAGCATCCCACTGGGATGGTTAGGTTGGTCCATCTTTGAAGCTGGAGTATCACACTGCTGCATAGTCAATTTGGTCTTCATGGGAGCCACGGGAGCTGTTTTTCCTCTTACGTATGTGTTCTGCAGGAAATGCTGACACTCTAGAGAAGCAGGATATTCTGGGACCTATATGAACTTTCTTGGAGTTGATCTCCACTGTGAAGTGTTTACTAATATAGCCATACTGAGAAGTCAAAATTAAGTGCTGCATATCCTGGCAGCAGAGTAATTTCGTTGATATAGCATATACTTAGTTGGTACACCATGTTTCTTAAGGAGTGGGGCTTTTTTTTGTACAGCAGACAATGTTTGCCAATAACATAGCTGTGTCTGTAGATCATATTTTAGTGCAAGCTGAGAAGAATTCCAGCTTTTAGAGAGCAATACAGCTGAGGTGAATAAAGCCTAGTGTGTGCCACATTTCAGTTTACTGCGCAGCAGAATGAACACTGTAGTGACCTAGATCTTCTATTTTCAAAACATTACTTGGAAATCAAAACCTATCCATGTTAAGATCTACACTGAGCTCAGCTGGACTGAAATTCCTGGCTATTTGAAAGTGACGGTGACATGCCTGAAATAAACTTCAGCTTTTAAATATGAGTAGGACACAAGTAAAATCTTATTCCAAAACTGAGTCTAGATTTAAAAAGCCCCAGTCAAAGTAGAAAATATTTTTCCTTGTCTAAATTTTAATGTAAAGCAAATTCAGTACGAGTGTAAGTTTATGATTCATAAACAAATAGAGAAACATTTATGGTTTTGCACTTGCATTAAGTCTTTAGGTTTCCCAAAATAAAGCATTGTTAAAAGCATACATACAAGCATGGTATATTGAAATAATTTGGCTTTTAAAATATTTCTCATGAACTGCAACACTTAGGAGACTGGTGATTTCATCTTGCATTTATGTTCCTGGTCAATTTTTTACATTACCCAACCTGGATGTGTATCTACAACAAATACATAAAAAAAGTGCATTAGCCACATAACTAACCTCTATTTTGGGGACACTCAGGAAGAAATCTATTCATATAGAATAATGATGTGATTAATTTCTACAAGTACTGTAATTTTAAGGGAGGTAATTGGGAATTGCTTTCACAATAAGATAATGTAGAGGCTATAGACATCAGTAGCTTTTAAGCAATAGAAAACCAGTGAAGGATCTACTTTTCCCTTAAAAATCTTACTACCTAAAGAGAACTGAAAGACCTGTGTATTATAATTAGAGTGATAAAATATATTTTATATATAGTTTCAATCCATGAAAAAATCTCAAATACTTAGATTTCTAGAGATAAACTCAGCCTGTGAGTTTTCTTTCTGTCTTGTTGTGAAACATAATTGGGCAACTGTAACATGCCCTTTCTTGCCAGTCCTCTCACACCTGAGAGCATCAGGTCCCAGCTTCAATATTGCCCCTTGGTTATCCTGCTGCCAGAGGAACGTCTTGTCATCTCTCATCACAGGTTTACAAGCAGTCTTGTTCCCTTGGGATCCTAGGTTGCATCTCCCTGGATTCTCTGTAAGGCTGTGGGAATAAAAGTTACTATAGCTGTAGAAGGTTAAAAGGTTACTACAGCTGCAAAAAAGAAGGGTGGTACTAGTGACAAGGGGCTTATCTGGGAGGAATAGCAGCAAAAGTTGGGGTCCACGAGATAGTGGAAAAGATAAATTAGGAATGAAATACAGTTTTAGCACAGATGCCATAAGGAATATGATAAACTATTGTAACCCATATAATTATTTAGGCACCAAATGAATACTTACATTTTAGATGTTTATATATATATATCCAAATCTCCTATGCTGTCTGTCAAAGAGGCCTTGTGTTTCTCCAAAGTGAAATACATTTGCACAAGTCATGTGCTCCCCCCAGTGGTCTTGACTGATACTCTCGGTGCTCCAGAGAACTAAAAACCATTTATTTTACAAAAACTCTTCCACAGCCAGCTAAAAAGTCTTCAGATTAGACTAAATGAATATAAAGTTATTTAACTAAAAAGTTCTAATTACTTTTTTCCTTGAAATCAAGTAAATACATAGATACTTACTGAATGTGGATTTAGAGCGACTGCATAGGAAGGACTAGAGAGTTCCTCACAAAACAGACTTTAACGCAGAAGTGCCAATGAAGTAAGAAATATGGACTTTCAATGTTGCATTAGCTTGAGCAGTGCCTGCTAACACAAGTACATACTTCCACTCTGTGTTCCACGCGGTGATTGCTCCTCCACGGGAAGGGTGTTAACCACTGGAACCCGTGGCCCTGGGTGGGGGTGGAGTCCTCATGCCTGAAGGTGCTTAAGAAAAGACTGTAAATGGTACCCGGTGCCATGGTGTAGTTGGCATGGTGGTGTTTAGTCAAAGGTTGGACTCTGACCTCAGAGGTCTTTCCCAGCCTAACTGATTCTGTTATTCTATTTAGGGCAGTCAGATTAGCTCCTAGGGGAAAACAACAACATCCCTATGTATAAATATTTAAAGGCTGGGTGTCAAGTCAGAGGGAGCCACACTCTTCTCAGTGGTGCCAAGCAACAGAACAAGAGGCACCAAGCAGAAACTGATGTGCAGGAAGTTCCACCTGAATATGAGGAAGAACTGAGGACTAGAACAGATTTCTCAGAAAGTCTGTAGAGTCTCCCTGACTGGAGATATTCAAAAACTGTCTGGATGCAGTCCTGTGCCATGTGCTCTGGGATGACCCTGAGCAGGGGGTTGGACTAGATGACCTGCTGTGCTGTCTTCCAGTCTTACCCACTCTGTGATTCTGTACTGACTGCACTGATTCACTCATGCCTCCTGACAGCAGAGCAGGAGTGCAGAGCAGAACAGCTCCCAAAAGTGGTGGTTGGCACACAAGGCTCCATTGAGAGAAGCTCTCAAAATTCTTGTGCATTATTACATCTCTACAGTGGCACTGATCCTATTTATGAGGGCAGGAAGCCGAAGCTGACTTTTCAGTTTTTGACTCAAAGGATGGTGCCTTGGGTCAGCACTGCCCCTCATGCCAACAGGGAGGATGAAGGGCAGGGAGACCGTCCTGGAGCACTGAGCGGAGATAACAAGGCTGTGGGCCCAGGTCTTACCTCAACCCCAGGCACACGGTGGTAAGACCCCTGCCCTAAGTGCAGCAGAGCTGCCTGGCCAGCACATAGAATATATCCTATGAGGAGCAGCTAGGAACCTGGGGGTGTTTGGACTGAAGAAAAGGAGGCTTTGGGAGGGGACATCATTCTCACTACAACTCTCTGAGAAGAGAGGTGAGGTGGGGAGTGCTCTGTTCTTCCGTGCCTGCAGTGAGGACAAGAGGAAATGGCCTTAGCTGAGACAAGGGAGATTCTAATTAGATATAAGAAAAAAAATTCACTGTTAGGGTGGGCAGGTGTTGGAATAGGTTGCCCAGGAAGGCGGTAGTCACCATCCCTGGAGGTGCTCAAGAGGCGACTGGATCTGGCACTGGGTGACGCAGCTTAGTGGTTATGGGGTCACAGTGGCAGTGCCGGGTGGATGGTCAGACTAGATAATTTTGCGGGTCTTTTCCAATATTGACGATTCCACCACTCCGTGACTGACTCTATGACTGACTCCATGATTTGGGCAGGCGCGCGGCCGTGCCGCGTCACCACCCGCGCGCCCGG